TTGTTGTCTCTTGTGCGTGCGCCGTCACGCATCGTTGCAAATTACATATACATTATACAGCTCCCGCTCGGCGTGACACTCTCGAGCCGTTCCCCGGCTCCTTAACTTAAATATGCAACGAGGCTGCCATGGGACCCCGCGGGCCAATATCGTTTAATCGCGGAAGTATACTTAAGTCGCGAGCGCGCTTTGATCGCTCCCGTCGCTTTCGTTTATTATGACGCAAATTGTTGCCGTTTTTGTTTTTTTCGCCGTGCCGACGAAATTTCGGTGGCTGTTTTCGTAATATGAGCACAGTGCCGAACGATGCACGATGGATGGATGGTCGGCCCCTTCCCTCGAGCTCCGCCGTGCCGTTTTCATGCGTGATATTACAATATGTGTATGTGTTTTACCGATGTATATTTTTTTTCCCGATCGTTCCGCGTTCTTGCTATCTTTTTTTTTGTTCAGTTTCTCGTTGTCCTTCTCTTTACCGAAATGCATATACATAAAGAAGTGGATAAAGGCACCTAACTTCTTAGCGTACGGTCGTTAAGTGATATGCCGCGTATCGCATCGGGGTAGGGAGAAGGGCCAATATCTACGGGGCCCCCGCAACACTTCGTCAAATCGTACGAAAAGCTACGAGAAAAATGAAGGAACGTCGTAATCTCTGTATGAATCGGACGCGATCATAATTATCGTATTCTCTTTTTGGAATTTTACCTCTTAACGCTTTTTTTTCCCCCCGCTGAAGCATACTACATCTCATTTTTCTCTCTCTATTTTCTTTTTCACTCTCACGCTTTCTCACCCGCTTTTTTTTCCTTGTATGCCATCCGACACATTCGTACTCTTCCATTTCTTCCTCGCATGTTCGCCCAATTAATCTCTTTTCTCTCACACACGCTTTCTTTCGCACATTCTCTCTTTCTCTCTATCTCTCTCTCTCTCTTTCTCTCCCTTCTTTCACTCCATACGTTACATGTATCTATATTTGGGGGCGCAGGGGGTCCGGCAGGCTAGCCACATCTATCTTCTCTTACGAGTTACATCTCAATGTGTTTTTTTCTTATTTCTTACAACTAAAGGTATTTAACACAGTATGTCACGGAGCGCGCATTTACACATATGCCGCGCATCCGCATTCGTTCGCTCCCTTCTCTTCGTTAAGCTTATACTCGATATAGCTTCTATCTGTTGGCTAATGTTATTCATCTTACACATATATATATGCATATATGTATATATAATATACATATTTGTATTATATATAGATGCGCATGTCTTGTTGTTTGTAGTCTTTCTTGTATAATATATATGATTATATACATACATTACTTTATGTTTTATGCTCGGTATCTACGCTTACGGCTCCTACTTTTGTTTTCTTTCACTGTGTGCTTTTTTTTTCTTAAACATTCTTGCTCTAACACTAAGCTGTTTCCACGGTGCTTTGCATCAGTAAGTATCCCAATTTGGCTTGACTGCTGCCCTCGTCCCGCTAAGAATTATGTTACACTCTCGAGGGGCATCTGAATATAAATAGTTAAGTTAAATGCACCTCGATTAAAAAGAAAATCTACGCGTTCAGTAGCGCGATTTACAATTTCAAATTTTGTTAAAAGAACCAATAGCACTTCTTAGAAGAATAGGAAATTAATGTTTTACTTCTTCTAACAATCTCAATTAAATTATTCCGGGGAAAAAATTATAACGATTTTGATATGCCTACGTTGTATGTTAATTAAAATGCTAACAATTCCAATAACTTACTATCTTGTACCTATCAATTTGTAATTGTCACAGATATTCGAAATTCATAGAAAGTGCGAAGATCAGTAATCATGAATGGAAACTAAAGCGAGACCTTAATTTAAGTACACAGCCCATGAATACTATTCTTGATATCACGTTCAGATTACATCGAAGTAAATTATGACGATTGTCACTGCTACGCACGCAATTTGTTACGATCAAAACAAATGTAGTGTGCAATCAATTTTACGGGATCGGCTAAAGTCTCGTTCTTAAGCGCCACCGCTCTAGTGTCGCGAAAAGAGAAAAAACGTTTTTCGTGAGCACAAACTGCAGTTTGAGTAACTTGTGAAGCATCAATCGCTTAATTGCATTCCACATCCCTCATTGTAATTCCTAATTGGGAGTGGTAGGATCGACTGATTGGCTCGATGATATGTTTCGTGTGTGCATCGCGGTACCTACGTGTTGATCGATATCAAAATCACGTTTTGCGGTACACCTGCGAGAGGCAAAAGCATTACGAACACGGTAGGATAGCATCGTAGGCAATTAATATATATTATATTATACTCCTTGCTCTCTTACTTCCTCCAGGACCGACGCCACCTCCTCTGTCTGTTGCCTGCACGAGACTTGTGCAAACACGTCGGTGACGATAATTAATACCTAGCCCTCGGTGAAAAGAACACGTACAAGTTTCTAAATGTATGTTTCTTCAATGATTGTCGACTATCGTTTGGTAAGTCTCCGCGAGATAAGTCTGTTCAGGCGGAGGTATGTATGCGGTGGCATCGGAGAGAATCGTGGAAACAAATAAGAGAGCATCCAAGGGAGGAGACGCACGGATGAAGAAGAGTCGAAATGACACAGTGCCCGTTACGCGATACTAATAGAAGAGAAGAAACACGCTTTCTACGTGACGGGAATCGAGGAGCGAAAAAGAAAAAAAAAATAATAAAGGCACGCATTGAATTTTGTTGTAACTCGAGACTGTAGTAATTCGATAAGGATAGGATAACCAGGAGCGGTCGCTTCGGTAAAGCTTGAACAATGTAACAGTAAAAATCTCGAAATGGTGTGACTCACGTTACCTGATACGCCAATTGTCAGATTGTAGAATCTGAGAGCTGTGAGTTAAAAAGGACGCGGGCAAAGGATGGAGGCAGCAGCCGCAGCACGCGTTCCTGTATGTGTATGTGTGTATACATGTACATATGTTTATACATGTCAATATCTGTTTTTTTTTTCGGTGTATGCATATACATGTGTCCTGCCATTTGTGCCGTATAAGAGTGCTGAGTATAACTTGCGGATATTTAGTTATTGCACTATCCCTCATGAACGCTTTTATTTTTGTTTAACCTAAATGATCGACAAGCTAGATTAGACTAGACTACGTCTAGAGCTTTTTTGTTAAGTTTCTCTCGCCACTATATTCTACACGAATGCTGTATGCATTTTGTGTATTTGGTGTTGTGTGTATTTACATACGCGTATATGTTTTTTTACACCTCGTGTATGCGCGCGCGTGTCCCTTTTCCCGAAATGGGTCCATGACTTAGGTACCATAAGTGGATCTCTTTTTGCCAGTTTTGTCCTACGGTGTGGCTCTCGTCACAAGTTTGCCCCCTCTCTTTTTTTTTACAATTTATTTCGCCCCGTTTCACACTTCCCCGTCATCCGTCGTTTCCGTCCGCGATTCCATTGCCCCTTTGTTTTCTCTTTTGCCTACTAAGTCAGATTACATTAATAATTATCTATCTATCACTTTATGCTACATTTTGGTTTCCTGTTTAACGCGACAAGTCGCACTCAATCGGCTAACTCCACTCGGTATATGTCCTAGACAACGTACAGGACTACATCAAGTTATACACACGCCTTCATGTTTAAGGCGCCATTCTTTAAATACTTTTTACAAGAGTGTCGGGGTTTCCGCGCTGATTCTTTGAAAGAACGCGAGGCTCCCTCACCTTTTTTTTTCTCTGTCGAAGGTGGAATCGAGTCGGAGTGCATAGCGAGCAATTCGACAAGGGGAGCGATTGGGCGGAACGTAAGGAACGTAAAAGTAGAGTGTGTCAAATCCAATTAATATTCTTTTTTTTGTTGATTAAACGCTTCCCGGTATACGTTACTGTACAGAAATTGATTGACAGATGCAAACGCACGCGATAACAGATTCTTATTGCATAATTCGTGTTACATTCTGCCATTGGGTCCCTCTTGCCACACGCTCTCTCTCTCTCTCTCTCTCTCTCTCTCTCTCTCTCTCTCTCTCTCTCTTTCTTTGTTCCCCCTCCCTCCCCTCGCTCGTTCCACCTTTCACAAAAATAACCTATATTTTTTATTTCTTTTGCCTAACTAATAATGTACACGATATTTTCTTTTTTACTTATATATGTTCTTTTTCATGTCGTTTTTCTTAAAAGCTAACTCTTTCTCTCTTTTTCACGCACAGTGCTTTGTTTTACGCACGACGATTGAAAATAACAGCCCTCGCCGCCGCTGCGCGCAAGTATATATATTTATATATATAATATATATATGCATTTTTGTATTTATATGTATGTATATATATTTATTTATAATTTTGTTGCTTTCTCTTTGCATACTCGTGCCGTGTCCTCGAGGCTAGTCACCCAATTTCTATTAGAAAACGAGATTCGGTTATATATAACATGACGATTTCGTTTTTAAGATAGAATTTTAAATAATACGAAAATTTTCTTGCAAATCGCGATTGTAACCTGCATTTTATTGTAAATATATTTACACTCTGATATTTTTAATTTTCTTAATAGTTTGTTAGACATTTGACGATAACATTATTATATTATAAACAATGAAAAAATAATATTTAACCGTAATGATATAGGCAAAATTTTTTCAAAAAGTGCAGGTTACGACAGAACTGAATCGAAAGATGATTATAAAATTTGATGTTCATCACATGCAAGAAACTGCAAGAAATAATCGTGGTCGCGCTTACATCACGTGCGATCGTGCATGATAATTTGTATATTATTGTACTAAACTATAAAGACATAATGAAAATAATAAAATTTAGAATAAGCTAAATGCATTCAATAAGAAAATTATGTGCAGATAATTGAACATATGTATGAATAAATATATTCTAATAACATATATATGCCAGCAACAACACAAATAAAGAAATAAATCTGATAATATATCTTTTCATGATTCTCACTCAAACGTGACTGAAAATTGAACTCAGATATAACGATTGAGAAAACGAATTTTACATTTCTTCGTAAAGCTGCAAATCAAATAAGAGCAAGGCGATAAAAAAATGCAGCCAATGTAGCGGCAACACTGTTATTCTTAATTTTGGTTACGTATAAATTACTATATCAGAATCATTCATCGCGATTGAAAATGCTGAAATGTGACGATTTTTATTGTCGAGCTTTCCTCTCACGGGAAAATCACTCTTTTATCTGGTTGACACAATCGCGACGGATCGTTGGTAGACACACAGACACGCACAGACGCACATACATGCACATAGACACACACATTCTCTCTCTTTCTCTCTCTCTCTCTCTTTTCTCACCCTTTCTGTCTCTACTTTCATCACAAAACATCTAAACTCTATGCGATGTTGGGCAGATTTGATTGTGCCGTACTCCACTTCCTTCGCTACATTTCGATCATTCGTGTGTGCCGTACTTTGATCATTGATCTTTTTGATTGAGAAACGTCGAACACGCTTTTGATTCACTTAAAGCACGATCCGTCTATCTTTTGATTAATACCAACGTCTATCGCTCGTCCTATCTCGTTTTTATTTTAGTCATCATCGATGTGCTCTCTATGCCTCTTAATCTAACCGAACCTCTTTCTCCTCCCTCTTTTTATTTCTTGTTCTCTTTACCTGTTCGTGCGAGCAAAATTATAGATGTATCCACGGAATATGTCATGAGAGAGACATTCGAAAGAGACAAAGTGAGGTGAAATCATCACGCCTTACAAAGAGGGCGACGTTTTTGAATAGTGAGCCCCTCTCAATATAAACGGGAACAGTGATATTGAAGACTCATGAGTCAAATATCGAATTTCAAATGTATTCTATACAAGATAGATAATTTTGTGGAGTTTCAAGCTTATAATTTCTAAAGCCTCTCACAGCGAAAGATTAATTGTAAAAATTTTATACAATATATATTTTAAAAAAATTGATATTTTAGAGATTTTAAAAAGAAAGAAATATCGAATCAAAATTATATTTTTTACGACTCTTTGCCGATTAAGGACTTGAAGTTTTTAATTTCACTAGTTTCTACATTCGCCCCGGTTCTACTCGTTGCTCCGATATAAACGCTTTTCGAAGGAAAAGCGAGAACAAGATATTATCGATACGACGAGTATGAGTTGTGGTACTTAAAACCGAAGGGGTAAGAAGGGACAGTAGATACGAAGTGCAAGAAGCAGGACGATGGAAATACAAATGATCGAGCGCGGAAACGGTCGCAATAAGTTTCAGCCGCTTCCCATCTTTTCAAGTATTGAAACTGCTCGTGCTATCACCTCGTCGTGCTATCATTTCGCGTCCCATCCCTTTCGACCGATCCTTTTCCAGCAAACGGGGATAGTTTTAAGGGCAGAGCAGCACGCCGATGATGAGATTATGTACGATCAAGATCCTAAAACGGCTGCCGCGCGGACAGGGCACGCGTGAACAAAAAAAAACTTAACTCGTCTAATCTAACTTTCGTGCTGTTTGTGCAATATGTCTATCTACGAATTATTTAACCCCTCTTTCTCCTCGTCCCTTGCTTGTGCTTGTGCAGTTTATTCGTCGCTCGGTCTTGTTCTCATGCTCCCTTTCTCTCCCTCTCATTCTTTCTCTCTCTTTTCGCTTTCATACTTTCTTTCCCTCCCCCACTAGCGCTCTCCCATATGTACGATTGCACTCATGCAATTGCTTACGTGTTCGCGATTTATACGAGTTTCGGTCTCGTCTTTCTTTTGTATCAATTTGGTCAAGTCGAAATTCGGGACAACGAGGATATTGTGATCGTTTTACTGCTCCCCACGAACAATTTTAAAATACACACGTGCACGCACCGTCTCCTCTAGCTATCTTGTCCATTCTATTAATTATTATTTGTTTTCGTTGTTAAGAATTCGTGTACTCTCTCGTTTTACGCAGCGAGATTGATTTATAAAGAGACGGAGGGATCGATGGCTGCTTTTTTTTCTTCCTAAGCTTATCGCTTTATTGCTTAAACGTCAAAATCTCGATTTCCTTTGGTTGTACATAGTCATCTTATATAAAAATCTAACGTTTTACTTAAAAACCACGGTGATCTGATTGGTTTTGCGTGTTTCGCCACTTTCTCAGTTTGGAAATTGTGCTAATTCGCCAATGCCTCCCAATGGCGTGTGTACATGTCTGTTTTTTATAAAAGTATCCAACAGGTCTAAGTGTCGCGTCCGAAAGACAGATTCGAATGATAAAAATGGATGCTAAACTGCCTGTAAAGATTTCAATGTGTGAATTATCGTTTGGCCACGAAACCGATAAACAAGTATATTGATCGAGATACGAAGTCTTTTCGCCGTGGCAAATGGGATAAGATACGTGGATCCAGTAGTAATTCCCGTGGTTTTTTTTTTGTTGAGACGGGCGAGTTGTACAAAGGGGTCCGTGATTATATTCATCCCCGTAAAAATGCTGCGCTATTGAATATACACAAGATCCACTTCCTCCTTGCCGCCGAATATCGAATCGACCTCGAATAACTTTTAATATAACATGCCTATCTAACTAACTAGTTGTTGAATTTTGTTTATAATAATCTTTTATTCTTTTATGTATATATATTCTTTCATTTATATATATATATATTTATATATTTATATATCTTCACGAGAGTATGCTTCGATTAATCTTTGTATTTATCATTTATACAGCCGCTCGCCAGCCGTCGCATTCGACCGCGAGCGTCCCCTTCGACATTATGTCTTTGAGTTATTATTTTCGCTGTTAAAGCCCAAACTACAAAAATAATGAATCCGTGTAACGAGTCTGTATCCGGCGGTCTGTCGGCACTCTTCGTTTTTTTTTCCTTTTTCATAGAGAGGATCAAAAAATTTATGCGCTTTGTTAAAATGGTGATAAACCACGATCCCCGTTAAACTTATGCGGACTCGTATTTCTCATGTACTCATTATCACTGGACGATACATGTGTGTATGCGTAATTGGCCAGTTTCGCTAAAAAAACACACTGTCAGACCCGTCACGAATGACTTATTCACGTGTATGCCGGATTTCGTGTTTTGTATTTGAAGCTTCGGACACTACTACTGTAACGGCAAACGCTATCTATTTCTTCAAGCCGAGCAAGATGCTAGATTATCCTACAGACTGGACGAGAGGTATCTCCGCTTAGTAATCGGTAGCGGTTCTTTTTCTCTTACACTGGACGTGAAAACTTACGGGGGGAAATGGGGATGTGTTGTGGATGCATATCTTGCGCAAAAATTACCTATAGGATTATGATTCTTAATCGCTATTTTTTTTTATTTTCTCACTTTGTTTCTTCGTATTAAACAAGTGTTATCTGCTTTTCGTGGTAACTGCCTTTCGACTCGCGCGTCGTCAAGCCGGAAGTGGCATGAGCTCTACTGCTTTTGCTGTCGCGGTCGATTGTGCATCGATGATGACGGAAATGTTGTTGTTATTGTTGTTGTTGTTGTTGTTGTTGTTGGAGGTGGTGGTAGTAGTGGAGGAGGAAATGATGGTGGTGATGGTGGTGGTAACTGTTGTTGCTGTAGAAGTTGTTCCTGTTGGTGGGGTGTACTTGCTTACCATCACACTAGAAGGCTAGGCGTCAGCCAGTCCTCATCCGCTAGCTGGACCGCAACCAAGAACACACTTTACCATTTGAACACACAAACGCTGGTTAAATCTTGGTCCGAATTTCAAGAAAGTAATAGAAATATGCTCGACAATAGTCCTCTCTCTCCCTCTCTTTCACTCGTCTTCGCGCTCGCTTGTACTCTCTAACTTTTGCTTTCTTTCTCTCATTCATTCTCTCTCTCTCTTTCTCGCTTTCTCTCTCTCTTTCTCGCTTTTGCTTCATTCTTCATTCTTGCTTTTCCGTTTACAATTCCTCACATTCTCCTATAACTACATGAATTCTAATCGACCTGAATCTACCTTCACCATGACTCAACCTCCACCATGTGGCGCAGTGGTAACGACGTAAAGAATGCATAATAATTAGATAATATACAAGTAGTGTAAATTACTTGTATTATAATTCAGAGCGCATCGGCGACGGCGAAGTAAGATTAGACTTAATGAGTTTTCTTGACCTAATCACTGCAAATTTCTCAGTCGTCATCAGATAAAAAATCAAGTTTAAATTACTACAAAATCTACAATCGAATACCATAAATTGTACCAATAACAAAATATACACGAATTTCACTTTTTTTTTATTTTGCTTTCGTTTCTTACATTGTTTTCTTCCATTCCTTTTTGTTCCGTCGAAAATATTATCCTTTTGTATAAAAACAAGCTGCAACGAGTAATTTCAGGCTGAATGCGAGGTTGAGCCAGGTTGTAGATGCAGTTATCCTGATGCTAATTGATATTCGAAAGAAAGGATAAGCCAGGCCGTGCGATGATAGTGGTAGCGATCACTGTGCCTGCGAACCGAAATATGTAAATAAAGATAGTCTTTTTGAAAATCTCGAGCATCCCTTCCTGGATAAGCGACAAGAGCACCAAATACGACGTCATCAATATATGTATATTCGATTTTAAATAATTATTAAAATAATGCATCAATTTGAAAATCATATAAATCACAATTAAATTTATTTCAATTAATAACGCAACAATCGTAAAATTATTTACTAAAGTTGTCACACGTTTCTTCGAAATTATTATTAAATTTATTGGAATTATAAATATAAAGAAAATGTAAAGAAAATATTTTATAATATATAAAAATAGTATAATCTGACATAAATATTACTTTATAAAAGTAAAGAAAAAAAAGGAAGTCTCTCCGGAGGGATACCCGAGCTGAATTAGATAAAGTGCAAGAAGCATAATGCATGCAATGTCTACATTTCACATTTCATATCCATGCAAGATCTACGTGGCGAGCAGGCTATTAATAGTTTTTTTTATATCTATATTATATACATGACATCATCTAATATTAATTCTATTAATTTTATAGCATGTTCTTCTTTTTTGTTAATTTTTTTATTGGTTGATCTACATTCTGTATTGTTAGCTGCACGTTAAAGTTTAATACACGCTGGACAAATTTACACGGGGATATTTGCATGTTCATAACTTCGCAGCCTTTAGCTCATGATTGTAAATTGCGAATATCCGTGTATAAATTTGTTCTCTTAGATCCTATGATCAAACGCAAAACTTTGTAACTCTCTCGTAACAAAAAAAATATTAGCAAAATAAACGCTGGAAGCCAATTGCAATTTATCCCGGTGGCGATATATTTCCCCGCGTTTCATCCCTCTTTCATTGTTTTATCGGTGCCGTTACTAAGAATTCGTGTTCTCTCTCTCTCTCAATTGAGGATAGTTTCGGTGGTTTTCAACTTTCAAAGTGGTATCTCACTTGACATGCAGTGATATAATGCGAGCTCGGTTTTTCCGAAAGAGATATTTGTGCGAAAGCGAGCTAACTTTCCTCGCCGAAATATCTCCTTCGTTGCGATAGACGATGCAATGGTACGTGACTTTTACTCCGTTCTATATGTGCGATATGTACAAAAGACTCACTAAACAACTATAGCTGCGTGATATGTACATATCTTCTTAAGCATATATATACAATATGAGCGACAGGCCGTTTTACTGGCATTGCAAACAACTGCAGATTAATGACCGAAAGCCGAAATCGATACAGCGTTTACAATATGCTACGCTATCTCAAATTGTTCATACTTTCTCTGATAATAACCATCTAAAGATTTTTCTCTATATGCTATTGTTAAATATATGACTGATTTTAAAGTTACCCGGAAATGCTGTGCATGTGCAGAAAAATGTTCAAATATATATCTCGGCACAGTTTTTTTTTTTATTTTTTTAGAATGCGAAAGATGGATGTGTATGATTAACTGAAAAGCCGGAAACATTATGATACTTGCTGATTTTTTATTTTTGCCCGTCCTTTTAGAGAGATTTTTGTGGATCATTAAATTAAAGCAACGGCGGATGGAAGGAATTAGCGAGCAAATCGGATTTACAATCAGACACTCGCTCATTAAGTCGGTCCAGTTTATTTCAGTTTTACTGTACTTTAACACAGTCTACTAGTCATATTGATCAGAAAACTTGTTCTTTTATTTCTAATAACTGTATTTTTCTCTCAAAGAATCTTTTAACCTTGAGCCGATTTACTCTTCAATTCCATGAATTTATACGTTGTTTTCTATCTTTGATTCAATAATAATAAGCCGAAATTTTATTAAAAAACAAGTTTATATATTTAACTCAATCTAAAGTTTGTATAATTAAACAAAAATATCAGATAATAAATAAAATTATATGAAATATAATATCAGCTAAGATATAGCATGTGGTTTTGCAATAAGTGTTGTTTTTAGTAAATATAAAACTATAAATATTAAAAAATTTTAGTGTATTTCATACAAGTTTTTTTATCTACTTAGTAAATGATGGAAAGGTAAATATAAAGAAACAGCAGAGTTAATTTGAAAATTTCAGACTAGAGCTTTTTAGCGAGCTTTTAAATTAAGATAGTCGTTCTCAATTCTGAGACTTCAAGTTGTCAAGTTCAGAAATTGTTCTTGAAGCAAAAAGAACGCGGGGCATTAAAAGCGGTGCTGAGTTGAAATGCATTCGCTGCGCTTGCCCGAAGCCATCCCTGATCTCTTTTCAAATATTCCAGATTTTTTTTTGTAGTAGTGTCGTTTTTAGCGATGGCGTGTGTGCCTGTGTGCAGTGCGCACTTTCTTACGTGTGCATTCTGTGCAGAAAGCAAGATGGTCGAGGTGTATTTTTCTGGACAACAACTACGATAAGTATCATATTTCACTTCACTGCCATGAACCACAATTTTTTGCAACATAACTAAATCTCGATAACCTCCTATATAATCACGTGTCGAGCGGGAAAGCGAGTCTGTCTTGCTCCATCAATGTCTGGTGTACAAAAATATAAAAATTACTAGTTTGTTAGTAAGAGTGCAATCGCATACCAAGTGAATTAGAAATTGCGTTAGAAAGATAATTATATAAGGAGATACATAAGATAATCGTTGAGGGTAACACGATATCTTATTAATTTTCTAATAATTTTTCATATGGAATACCATTGTAATAATACCAAACATTGTTTCAAATGTTTTGACGAAGAAATTTAAGTAACTTTTATTTCCTCAGTTTCTATTAATATCTCTCGAAATTCGGTACAAGATAATAGAAATAATGCTGCATTAAGTTTCTGTCATTTCTCTCTGTTACTTATGTGGATCTATTAGACATGCGTACTACAAACATTCTCCACACAATTATCATAAAATACCTAATCACGAATGCCATGAAGCACTTTCGTCAGTGAGAAAATCGATGCATTCTTCTTAAAAAGTACATCCATTTACATAGTAGAGATGGGTAACAAGTTATGTCACTGTCTGTAAGACAAATACTTACCATTTTATTGATCTTATTACAATTTCAAATGATATGCATACAAATAACATAATAAATGTTCTGCTCTCTCTTTGTATTTTACCCAACTCTGTTTATAAAAAAATATCGTAAGCTTTAATGCACAAGCACATGTGATCCCAATAGTAATCTGTAATTTCATTCATACCCAGCATTATTTCTCATTAATTGTTAAGCAAACACCCGATTTATTTATTGCGAATGAATAATTTTGTGGATTGAATTTGTAACGGAGAAATTAATTAAAATAACGTGCAGCGTTGATGTTGCAGATAGTATATTACTTAGTCTGACAGAGAAAATAATCTTGAGCTTGCAGTATAATTTAAGAAAACGCAAGTTCGTTATTTGCATACGTTATGTAATTATCGTAAATAATGCTGGTATAAATTGTTAAAATTAGCATATCGCGGTTGCTCCCGTAACCTCGCAATATCGTTAACTCAAGCCAAAATATTATACCGAATATATGTGTGCAGCTAATTACATCATACGTGTTATTGTAGCTATGTTTACTGTTCCACCCGTGCAAAATTGTTCTTGGTGAAGCGTACCATGTTCTATCGCTCGGTCTCTCGAATAATATATCAAGTATCAAGTTTACGAGGTTTCCTAAGATCACCGACAATATATATGTATACGTATGTACTACGCGCACTCTTCTGCCGACACATGCCTTCGATATCCTTTTGATATCGAATCGAGTTTCCACGTGCAACATTTACAAGCCAATACCGGCACCGACGAAATTGCTTTTGGATGTAACAGGGGCAAGATGCAAAGGTATGTAAAAAGCGAAACACTCCGGTGTTAGCCAACATCACACAAACAAATACGGCGCACACTTGTACGCGTATACAGATAGGGTTAGATAAAGTAATGGTTACCTGGAACTGTTGCATCGGGTAGGCCATCATTTGTGCCGGTGGCGGTGGTGGCGGGGGTGCGGCTTGCACCCCTGGGGGTGCCGTGACCGTCGTGGCGTGGTGTGGTGGTAACTGTGGTCCCCCAGGTAATCCCTGACCCCATCCTGCCGCTGTGCCAGCGGCATGGACAGCACCCATTCCCATGCTACGTTTGTAAAAAATACGTAATTGTCAGATCGTATAATTTAACAGAACAGTACAAATGCTAGGATTTGCATTCTGCTTGATATAATATATTAATATTTCTCATGTCGCAAGTATATTGTATTGTCAATATTTTTTGTTACTCTGTTAACTAATAAATATGTTTGAAAACTACTATTACGTAAATACTATTTTGTGTTATCGGCTATGAAATAATTTTATTAAGAGAATAACAATATAGACTAACGAATCTCTAAAAAATTTATATATAAGTTTTATAATGTAATATATTAAGCTTTACGTTCCTATATATAGCTATATACAATATAATTACATGTACTCAATGTAAAATCTTTAATATAAATTCTAGGATTATTTTAATTTTAAATTTTCGAATTGTACAATTTTACGATCCATTTGGTGCCGTGAAAAGATGGAGGGATGATATATTCGTGTTACATCTAAATCTTTTCGAGCATTTAAAATTTTTAAAACTTGGTCTTCAAAATTTTCGAGAAAGACGAACTTATTTCGCGTGAAAAGCTTACCCCATATATTGCGCCTGTTGATATCCGGCGAACTGTCCATAGGTGTATCCTTGCATGCCTTGAAGAAAGCCACCGGCTTGCATTTGTGTCGCTGTCGTAGGATAAGATTGGGGCGGATACCAGTATCCTGCAAGTTGTCCAGCACCGCCGACGCCACCGACGCCTCCGACACCCGCGACGCCCGCCGCCGCCGCGGCGGCAGCTGCCGCCGCCGCGTAGTATGGGTACGTCGCCGACGATAACGCCTGAAAGAGCACAAAGATCAATGAAATAGAAAAGAGCAAGAACATTGTCTGGATTTTATGCTTAACGATGTCGATAGGGTCAGGAATGGTAATTTCGTTCCGTCGAAGATTTGTGTGGTCGTTCACTTGAAATGGGCGACGCGAGAATTTCAACGCGATCATTTCGTTGCCGTCACGTAAATTATTTTTTATTATTTCGCTGTTCCTCTCGCGTGAACTCATTCATTCTTTTACGGTGCACAATGTGAAATCAGATCAAATTATTCTACTGAATTATCGTGAAATAGTATATTTTGCAAATAGTACAGTTTGTCTTTTGTGCGTGCGCAATTAATCTTTATGATACAAAAAAAGTGTTTCTTTTCTGATTTCACAATCATTTACTTGCCAAACATAATAATATCTAAACAATATTAAAGTTTTCTTGAAGCTTTTCTAAAGCTTTGTATGATATTAAACGGGGAAACATTATCGAGGGGATGATGTTATCGGATATTAGCGGATATTTAAACTGCGTTGATTTTTCAGTAGTTCTGCTTCTAAGAGGCTTACGGAAATAATGTACAGCTATTATGCTCTTCATTAAAGCGGTACGATGAACCGGGATATCACGCAAACTAGTTCGATTCCGTTGAATACGAGAACAGGGTATGGCAGGATACGTACTAACGTGATATCTCGGCTCCCCTGGGAGAAGCGCGTTATGGGAATAGAGATCAATTAGAGCGATGTCACGGGCCGAGTAGCAGTGGATGGATGCACGGAAGTACTACCGGGGAGTGCGAGAGGGTTTGGGAAGTACTTCGGGTACCATTCCCAGATCGGGCGTACCTACCCATCCTAACGGAGCTAATTGCTAAGAGACCCAGCCCGACACACTTCGAAGAGAGGCACCTGAATAGACCGGAATCTTGCCCGATTCCCTGTTCTCTCTCTCTCTCTCTCTCTCTCTCTCTCTCTCTCTCTGTTTCCGCCTTTACTCTTTCACCGGACTTTCGAGCCATATACCGATATACCGACAGAGACACTTTAGCCGCGCGAAACCGGAAGGAACCGACCGTGCGATCGAATCTGATAACTACTTCCTCCTTTGAACGCTCTTGCTTCTTTTGAGACGAGAGTATTCATTATTCAGTTCCAGTGACACGTATAACAACGGCAAGTTTTATATTTATGTCGAGGTATCTGTCGCTCTCTGCATTCATCGCTTTGACACACACACACACGTAGACATTGGAGATCAGATTTGATATTAATGTCAACATATACTATTCTCTTTCAAACAAATTCTGACTTTCTGCAATATATAGTCGCTTGTAATTCATATTCACTACTGATGCACGTATAAGGCCGCTGTTTTTATTTTTCATACATTGCGTCTCAAGGAAAAATCGGCGACAATGTTTATTCATGAAATAAAGTAGAAAAGTTCACTCTGGTTTGATACGAGCAGCGATGTAAATGTTGGAGAAACACGGAGGACGGAATTTCACGTCGAAACTGTCTTCCTGGTAGAGCGGATAAAAGGAAAAGATAGAGAGCGTTTACCTGTCCAGTTTGTTGAGCATTATTAGGATCTCCACTCTCCTTGCCCCAACTGCACTTCACCGTTTGGCCGTTGATGTCTGTGTTGTGTACCGCTACGATGGCGTGCGTGGCCGACTCCTTGGTAGAAAACCTGAAAATCGAAAGAGAAGGGGATTCAAGTCCTTTGTTAGGACGTGTCCTTCGACGTCAATGTCGGTGTTGGTGCGACGCGATGGTGTGTACAAAAAGAAAAATCCTCGGAACAATACGGTACTCTTTCCGCAAGTTCAACCGGACCTTATTATGGTGGCTTAACGAAACGGTCTCTGCGACTAGTGCAGTTTAATTTATGCGAGTTTATTGCGCGCACGAATGAGCACGGTAATTGTGAATCTCAACGAATCTAGATTACTCCAGATATAGGCATTCAATGTTAAATTCTACACAGTGCACTGGTTACGCGGGTTTAGTTTCTAGTTTTCTAGAACAGTAATATTTTGAACGAACAAATGTATATGTTACTGTTATTACAATACATGATGTAGAAAGTTTATGCTTCGATGTCATATTTTTCTAGCAGTGTTTAAAAAAAAAACTAGGAATATGCACGAGAGAACAAAATATTTCAATCATGTCGAATTCGTCTGGCAGCATTTATTTCTTGTTGCTTCAAGATATATATATATGTTTGCGTTTTCCGTTACAAATTTAAATACAAGAATATTAATTCCATTCACTTTTTAATTATTCAATGTAGGAATTCCATCATTTCTCGATAAAATTTGATCAAACTTTGTACTGATAGACTTAGGGTTTTCGAGAATCTGATTAGGGTGGCAGGGAATTATTGAATTTATCGAAGATTAGGTCACTTTTAACGCTCGCGTTCGAGATTGCACAATGGCGACTTCGTTCACGAGTTCCGCCCCTTCCCATCCATCGAGCTTCCATCCACGATCGTTGAGTAGGACGAACGATGGTCATCGTCAGCAACCCCCTCCCTCCCCTCTCTCTAAGACCGTACCTCGAGCGATAACCAGCGGCAGATAAGATTCTTTCTTTCACCCGAGAAGAAAAGACCTCCTTCCCTTATCCACCCTCCCGTCTTGCTTTCTCGCTGTACCTCGCAGTAAGTCCATACGTCATCCCGAGATATTCGTTTCCGGGTTCCACACTATGGAAGAACGGAGGGAGGAAGAGCAATTAGACGGAAGATATCTGAACGACGGACATTGTCCAGGGGTGGCGGAACTGTGGCAGACATACGAAACGGTAGAGGCCATCGTATCGGATGGACAAGGATATCGAGCAACGGACGCGAGGGAGGATAAAGGGTAGAGAGAGGAAGATATGTAAGAGAGGGTTTTTTGCACCCCTTCCTCCGTCCCCGCTTCCCTCTAGGCTTCTGCCTCACCCTCTCTTTTATCGCTCGTTCTAGAGCAACCCTCCCACTCTCTCGGCAGTCTTTTCTGAGGTAGGTCACGGATTCTTCGTCGTCGTTAGAGCGCTGAATTCATTTTCGGCAGATATTAATGCTCAGCTGATTACTTGAACTGTTACATTCTTTTTTCTACAATTTGAAAATATCGATATGGGCACGATCTTCTATGAAATTTTTTAAATTTTTAATTGTGATAATTAATCCTTATTTCTATACGTAAAATTATTCATGTTACGAAATGTGACTTTTATTTTTAAAAAATCCTAACAATTCTTAATGAATGATTTTGAAACATAAATAAAGTTGATTTCATTTGGGTATGGGAAGTTGAACTGAAATATATGATCTGTGCGAATGTAATGGGTAGATTAATGAAATGGCCACGATTCGAGGTTGATGAGTCCGACATGCTGCCATTGACCCAACATGTTCTCGCATTTCGTGCCATAAATCACAAGCGACGGTGGGTATTGATGCACCATTCATGCGATTTCCTAATATTTCGTAAAATCTCATTTGATGACTCGCATTACGCTGGTACCCAATCATCGCGCATGATTTTGAGTAAAATTTCCTCAAGTCTTGCTATAACCATTGTATTACGCGCTCAAAATCCAATCACTTTATGCAAATGCATCCTTTGTATACATACGATGATTCTACCTGGTTGGCCTTAGGCCAGATTGTTCGATTTTGTGATAAATTTATCCGGACAGTCGGTGTAAGCACATCATCAGCCGTGCATAATAGATGTATGGCAATCTAGCATAATGGCTTTAGGGTGATTGGTTAAATTATAGATTTCAATAAGGACAATATAACTTTTCATGACAATCGATTATAGAAATTATAATAGCTTTCGAGATTACGTTTAGATTCATCAATATCATTTTACTTTATATAATACAAGCCGCTTTAAAAATATACATTTACTTCTAGAAACTGATTAAAATAAAAATAACAATTACATATATTCGTTCAATATTTTTTATTACATTCTTTTTATGAATTGACTATTTAAGCATCACAAACAACGAGAAAGTAAGAAATTACGTATTATAATTATACTTTCAAAAATTATGTAAATTAAAGTTTGACTTATAATTTACAATACGGCATGATAAAAATATATTAAATTTTTGTCCTAGATTCCTCTTTTTTATAAGACAGTAAAAAGCTTCGGTAATTAACGAACTTTGATTATATAATCAGTGAAATGGTTTCAAGGGTTTCATACTAAAGTTCCGTTTAATTCCGTTTAATTCTTCGCGAGAATTGGCCTTAAGTGTTCTTTGTGGAGTCTGGTGATCGATAAATCATTTTGTAATTTAAACGGCGATAGAGTAAAACGACTTTTAATTACGACAATTCATTAAGACATAGAAAAATAATTCGTGAATCTTGCATTCATTTATTAAAAGAAAAACTTGTAGTATATGACATATATTATATATATAATATAGTAAAATTGGTATACATTTTTTACGTAATAAAAACAGATGAATGTTTGAAATTATTTTTCAGCAAACATAAATATATTATAACTGCTATATAACATATACATAAATATACATATTTTACATCTACGTTATATGGCAGTTATTACATATATATATTCGATGTTTAAACTGGGTAAACATATCTTCTTTTAGAAATAAACTGTTTGAGATAGCGTAGACTAAATAAATCAGAAAAAAGTCTGCGCATCTCTATTTTAGATTAGAAAAGTATCTAAAAAAATTGATTTTTAGTTAATAAGTCTTTAAACATATAAAGTTATTTAGGTTGCCTAAAAGATTAATGCATTGACTAATATGATTTGCGATCTGCGAATCCGCGAATATCGCATGCTGACTTTATCATAAAAAAAGACTAACTAGAGCAGATTATTATTTTCCACATGACACCATTAGAAAAGCTATAAGCGTAGCGAAATAAATAGTATATTGTGGCAATATGATTTTAAAATCAATCTTATTATAAAATAAAGGATCAATGTCCGCTTCAGACCGCATTGGCGTTTTTAAAAATTCTACTTTCAATCCTATTATAAAATGTTTGTATTGATTGTATATTTAATACCTTATTAAATTATATATAATCATATTAAAAATTTCAATTTAATAGACGTAAAATTTCTTTAGCAAATATTTTCTAAAATTCTTTTCTTTCAAAAGTGATATATGCGTTATGTCCAAATTTATTAAGCATCGATGGATGGATTTGAAAATATTTATACGTTATAAATTTTATAATTAAAGATAAAAAATGCATTTACCTGATAAAAGCGTAGCCTTTGTCCTTAAACACTCGAATTTCTTGGATGGATCCGAAGGGCGAGAAAGTTTTCTGCATGAGTTCTTCTGTTAAACCATTGGTCAAACCTCCGCAGTATACCGTGCAGTTGGTCGGACTACTTTGATTGTAAACTTCATCGAACGTCAAGGGCTTCGCATTTGCTATGAGACAAAAAAAAATGACAAACTTTAATCCTCATTTAGTTGTGTAACCTGTTGAGAGGTCTAAGAAAACTGGTTCAAGCGTTAATAATCGCAGCTACGGCGAACTCCTGAATAACAATTGTTACGTGTCTTTCTTGATTCAGAACATAAACTCATAACGAAATAAATACAGTAATAAATATTTATAAATTTGCACGGAATTCTTACATATTGCGATTGTAATACTAGAAAAATGTGAAATAGTTTAAAAACAGTTTACTGCGAGAGCTCAATTATGGCTCAAGCTAACGAGTTTTGTACTGTGAATTTTTAGATTACGTTTGCCACAAGTTGTTGATGTTGATTCTGTTTACACCAGGAGATTAATTACTCTTAGCAAATATAAAATTCAAAATTGTGCAGAGAAGTTTAATAAGTTTACTTTAAATACATACACGACGACCACTATATTACACAAGCTGTTTTATTCGACGTCAACGCACCAATTTGCCTCAATTGCGCTTAATTCAAAACTCTATCAATTATATCAAAATTCTGAAAATGGGATGCTGCCGTCATAGATGTTATTACGCGTCAGATATTAGTAATAACGTTGTAAAATCACGACAAAATTATTCCTTGATCAGGAAAACGTTTCGGGAAATATTAGCTGCCGTGTGCCTGCCATCGCAGCGTTTATTTTGTTATCAATCAATGCGGCGCAGTCGTGTTGCTGAACGCATAACTCCTGCTCGTTTGTAGTCATGATTGGCGTATAAAGAATGAGCAGGCGTTGAAGCGCGGAGCGTTACGCGGGCATTCATCAAAAAACGATCAGCGCACGATGTAATGATTATTCCGTTTGCGACATCCAACGGCGATCGGATACGGTCCCGATAGCAATATAAGAAACAACACGCACATGGGGCCTTGGGAAAGCCATTATTGAAAGTATCTACTTCCCCCCAACGCGATAGATCTCTCATGTATCCTTTACTTCTTCCCTCGCCCTCGTCCTCCTTCCCCGCGCGGCATTACTTTTACTGATACTACGAAAGAGGTCAACCGAGTTTCACGGTGCGGTCGGAGCGGGACGCGAGAGCAGCTCGAGATATCGAACGCCAATGCCAAAGAGGTTGAATCCCGTCAGCTAAGTTTACGATCGTGCGGGGGCTTAGCCTATACGGCAGAAGCAGGCTACGGGTGTAAACGCGACCGGTAAACCACGGCCTGTAATTGCCTCGTTCGGGGATGGAAGGTTCTCAGAACGGCGGAACGTCCCGTTAAGAACTTACCGAGGGACGTTCTCTTCTTTTCTCAAAGCTCGGCATTATCTCTTTATTGCCTGGTGAACGTTATTCTCAGTATTCCCGGAATGTCGGCGCAGCTTACCCGCCTCTCCGTCGCCGCCGCCGCCTATGGTCGGCTTTAAAAAATTTTGTTTGTTCTAGAATGCTTATTTCGCAAAAAGAGAGATTGAAATATCTGCACTTCTGGCGCTTGCGAAGCCGTGAACTTTTTACGGTTCTACCTTTGATCGCCGGTCGTTTCGCAAGTTAATAGCTGAGAATTATTATACGACAAAATGTAACGAATCAAATGCGTTATCGCGACACGGTAGTTGATTAGTGTGAGTCTACAAGTCATATAATTGCAAATTCTTCATTAGAAAGAAGATATTTTCAGAGTAAATTTAAAATTTCCCTAAGCATTTCTAAAATATATATCTACTGAATATAATAAATACTCGGATATTTCTTTTATTAAAAACCAGACTACTAAATTTGTGCGAAAGTCTATCTTGTAATTTGTATCGTTTTGTAATTATAAAGCAATATAATAAGTATGTGTGAATTTTATCATCGCGCTTAAACGTTTGTGCTGTGTACATAGACTATATATTGTCTTTGTGTATTTTCATTATTAGTACTGATAATAGTTGAGTTAAGAATTATACACATTATGTACATTAATAAGTTGTGGGTGTGTATGTGTGTATAATCATTTTATAAATCTTTACATTAGCAAGCATTTTATGATCAAGATGCAGATAAATCATATCATCATACAAAAAAGATATGTCTATCTGTACGTCTAAACTGCTGTAGTTTTGTAATCCTACTCAGAACATGCAAAGTTTTTCGCGTCATATTATTACGATCAAATAAACTTTTCAATTACGATCTCTTAAAAAGTATTGATTCATTATCATACGTTTTGTTTTTATTGTCAGACTGAAAATATAATTTTCGATTTGGATAAATAAATTGCAGTGCGCGCCCGAATAAATAATTCTGATAAAAACTTAAAACAAAAGCTACTTCTGAACATATATAATAATTGTTTCATAGACAATTTATTTTGGCACAAGATGCTTCTAACGAATATACGACACCGTATTTTAAGATGATGCTGGATCTATACTTCACATCCCCCTTTTAGAACTGTAATAAATTGCCTTCAGCAGAATATTAATTTTATATTGGATTTTAAGCGACACGAGAAGCTGTCACTGCTTTTCTGTCAATACTTGTCCGCGCTGTGGACGTAGTTTTCGAGATTTAAGAGAGAGAGCGAGAGGAGGAATCGAGATTCAAGATACCGGGGATCGATTGGAAGAATTGCTCCCGACGTTTTGAAGCGGTTATACCGAGAATATCTGGTTGAAAAATTGAAGAGCTATTGTAGATCTATAGCGATGGTTTTCGTACGGAGCGGATTCCATAAAAGAGAAAAAAAAAAAGATTTCAAAGAAAGATTGCGAAGATGAAGTCGATTCGGACGTGGAGTGATACTGGGTGAAAGAATAACTATACGATCGTATTTTTATCGAAATTTATCACGCTGAGCTTTTGATTGATTCTGATATGACATGTAATACACAGTAATATATTCAAATGAGAATCAGGATGAACAGTGTCGTCTATAATGCATAAAATCATTATATGTCGATTTGTATTACATTGTATTTACATCGTTAGGTACCTGTATCAGTCTGATATAACTTGCGACGTCATTTAATTAGTTACGAGTTTTAATTCAATATCTTATAGGAAGCAATGTAAATTTTTAAATAAATTTTTCATATGTATTAATAACTTCTATATATTAGTTAAAATATAAAAGAAAATTGAAAGAAAAACGAGATAAAATACTTTTACTTGGCTCAAAGTTTTTCGCAAAAAAAAGACAGTTGGCAAAATTTGATGCTTTATCTTATTTTTTGTGATAAATATAATAAAATTGTATTATGAATGTTAAAATTTTAATGCAGAAATGCAACAGAGTTTTTAAGAAATTATAATTCTCAGGTATAATTAAACTGCTTTCGAACGCTAACCTTATTTTCCCTCTGCAAATTCTTAGTACCTTAATCGAAATATTCCCTCCCTCTCTCTCTCTCTCTCTCTCTCTCTCTCTCTCTCTCTCCTCGAGATTGGGCTATACCGATTCAAACTGATTTGATTCCACTGAGTGTGCGATATTCCAATTTAACCCCTCAGGCATGACTTTCTCGACGTTTCCATTTTAAGTGGTCGACTCATGCGTCGTATGCGCTAAGGTCTTAATACGTACCCAACCCTAACGTAATTGCACGACTGGCACGATCCTGAAAACGCTATTTACCGACGTATTATAGTTGCAGTCACACACTGTCGATATGTTTAAAGTTCGACGTTTTCGAGAGCTGCGCGCTTGCAGAAATTACGTGTCAGTTTACGCGCGGCAATAAAAGTAAGTAACTACTTTCGAGTATTGAGCACGCGAGCGTAATAGCAACGATATTACAGAGACTAAAAATTCTGCAGGAATTCCCCTTAAACTTCCACCGCGGGTGGAACAATTCATATTGCAATATCGCGGATCAAACAAGAATCTGACGCCGACAAGAAAATATCCAAATTCGCTGCCTCTGTCAGGTCACTTTCGCTCTTCGCAAATGGTCCGTGATTTATGATCCCTCGGACGTGCCTGGTCGAAGATCCGCCATTACGGAAACAGCCTGTAGTTCTAGATTCGGCTCATTAGGCAGCTGATTACGTGGACGTGCCTAAATCGAAGTTCTATACGTCAGGTCAATGGCGGCTCCGGCGTATTCCCGTGAAACTTTATTCTTATCTAGCGGGAACCACTTGGCGATCGAATAACTAGATTTATCGCGCGAATCTAGTAACTTTTTACTTCACTGAATTTCCGATAACTCGCCGCTCCCGAGAGCCGGGAGATGAAAGATCAACAAGAAATTCGGGGGTAAACTCGAAATTTTCTACCGACCGCGTCGGAGTCCGGACGCGCTAGTTCCGACCTTAAGTAAAAAAAAGGTGCAGAACACTGAAGTGAGAAGGAGAAAAAAAAAAGAAAGGACGATGGCTTTGGACCTCCGCAATATCTCCTTGCTCCTTCCTTCTCCCGAAAGGGAAGTTTCCACTTTTCTCCGTTTTATGGCGGATGGAATCTCCAGTGGTCGACGATAGAACTCGAATGTACGTATCTTGTGCCCCCTTAAATAACGCGGGTACTTGAAGTTTCGTTGGCACTGGTCACCCTAGCAGCGCGCCAATATTCGTCCCGACTAAATTCATGGTAGCGGGTACTAAGTGGACACTGGCTGTCCCCGTGGCCATTCTCCTTTTTCTTATTCTCGGACATCCATGGATATCTGAATAATCAATGTTCGAACTGACGCTGCATTTGTAACTTTCTAGTGGTTTATGTAAATCAGGACGAACTGCGCGGAATGGATGGCTTCTTGGTTCCCCCTCGTACGAATAGTTTGCCCGTTTCCTATTTGGATTATTGTTGCATTATCCACAACTTCCGTAAAAGTGAATTTGTATTTAAGCCGTTGCAATGCTCGTGTTAAGTTCGTGCCTGGACAATACGTCTAGCGATATTAGATTCTTAAAGAGAAAGTTGCAGGCAAAAATTGCAAGAGTGAAATTTTGTAACATGTATGTGAATTTCACAATTAACCTTTTATATATTTATCGCTCTTATTTATATATTTACCTGAATAT